ATATTTCAGAGACAGAAGCAGAAAATTTTCATATTCTAAACCTTTTGAAGAGTAATTTTACATACTAAACATGAAGGTGACCAACAGTAAGGAAATAATTGAAAGAAATGGACAAAATAACATAGGCCACCCCAAACAAGTTTTGTTGTTACAGGCCCATGCTTTATTAATTCTTCAATGGCATCATCAAAATTATTAGGATAATGATGAATAAAATAATATCAATCCAATAATAAAACGGATTCATCCAATTTGAAAAAGTAGTATTTTAAATTAAATCTCACTAATTTTGATTCGATCCATTTAATTGGTTACCAAATAGATTTAAATTAGTTTAGTCTAAGTTCGTTTTTAGAAAAAAAAAACATTATCTATAATTTTAGAAAGATTAAAAATGATATTATTTTATTAAGAGAAACCTATACATGTTAGAATTGATATGTTAAATCAAGTCATTTTGGAGAAACATTGTATCAAAATCAATTTTGTAATATTTGTTATCCACATAAGTCAGGTTACAACAAACTCGTGTTTATTTATCATTACTTTCATAAGATCTTGTTGATTGAAGATCAATTCTTGAAACAAAACTGCATGGCATAGTTGTTCTGACAGTGAAATTTGGGTTTTCATTATTACATATTAGATTCTCAAAGTTATGTGAACAGAAAGATAGAGAGAAGAAAGTCCTCAAGAACATTCCTTTGGTACTCCTACACTACAATCCTATGAAGATAAGGTGCATTCCTACCACCAAGCCATGAAGAAAAAAGATGAATGCCTATGAGTCAGGAACCAGTTGATCTAAGGTGTCATTTTCTGCGGATCTTTTGATGCGAACAACAGCCTTTTCAACCTAAAAGGAATTAAAATTCGGTTCAGAAATTCGCAACTTCACATGTGAGAAACAATGATGTGATGTAACATATGTAAGATGTTAGCAGAGTAAAGTTTTGATTACCTCTGCTTGCCAATTTGTTCTGGCAGTCAGAACTATTAGAGTTGCTGTCTGTATAAGAACTCCAAGGATCATTCCCCACCAAATACCCTATAAAATTTACAAATACATTGCATGAAATTTCTTCTTCACAAACTTAACAAGTGAGAGCTGGACAGAATCAGTGACAGAAATGTTCCAAACTTACATCAACTCCTAAAGAAGTTTTAAAGCCAAGAACACATCCAACAGTAAGACCAACAAAATAGTATGAACCCAGGTTTACATAAGCCACTACTGCTTGCCATCCACTTCCAATTGCCACCCCTGAAATTTTTCCAAGAAAAATTAACCATAGGAGGGATAAACCAAAGTTTGTGCTTGTGCTTGTGCTTTTGCACTTTTATGGCTTTATTACCTGACAGTATTGGTTGAATGCCATTCAGGAAAACAGAAATGGCAAGCAAGGGAGTCAAATGAGACACAGCCTCAATGACTTCAGTGTCAGAAGTGAAAAGTTTGCTCAAAGTAACACGGAATATCAGAATAATGGAACAGAAAATCACACTGACGAGGATGCTGGTTCCACTCACTACAAAGACAGAAAATTTTGCTATTCTTGGATGGGATGCTCCTAATTCATTGCTGACTCTGATACTGCAATGATGGATCATTTCATTAGCAAGCTTTTGAGAAGGTTTTTGGAATGGAAAAACACATTGTTTTGTTGCTAACCTGGCTGCTGTACTAAGGCCCAACATGAATTGCATATCCCAGTTCAAATAGTTCATACTGAAACCACATTAAGATAGAGGTTATGATTGTTGAGAATAATCTGAGTATAAATCCCATACTGGGTAAAGATGACAAAATTAAAGCACAAAACAAGAAGAAATATTCCAAGACTATGTTTATTGCATACCAAATTGAAATTGAGTCCAGTGAGATTGTGGGATTGGAGAGAAGTCCTGATATAAGCACCAGTCCTTGGCTGTACCATATTTCCAAACTGCATTAAGATACCTTTTTAGATTAGTAGAACAAATTGATGTAAATTATCATGTGTGTGACTGTGTCTATGCAGAATAACACTATGTTGGGATAGAAGTTGCAAGATATTTAGAGAATTTATAATGTATTAAAAAAGGAATGAAGATTTTAATGCTGAGAGTAAAAATACTTGAGTTTATTGAACTGAAATCTACACATTAGCTAAATAGTTCATGCACTAACTTCAAAAGTGGTTTCTTCAAAAGTTTCCTTCATGACTATTTTAGAGAAACTAAAAAGTATAATAAATTTTCTTGAATTTAAGAAAATATTTATAATCTTTTTGTCCCTTTCATTTTTATAGCACAATAAATGTATAAAAGTAAATTACTTAAAAAGTTAAGTGAAAAGTAAGAGTACAAATGATACAATAAAAGGAAAGTAGTAGTACAGTCAGTAGAAAAAATATCTTTCAAAAATTCTAGAGTACTTTAAAAGTTATAGCCACCTCAATTTTCTTTTTTGTTAGCAATTGTAAATGGTGTATAGAAATTAAGATTCGTTTATGTGTAAAAGACTGTATGTAAAAGTAAAAACTGGGGAGAGATTGACATATAGTGATAAAGTCATACCATAACATGACAGCAGAAGCAACTGTGAGCTTGAAATAAGGCCAAATTCCTCTGAAGGCTTTGGCACTGAAACCAGTCCATGTTTCCTTGCATGAAGGGCTAAATATGATGTAGAAGCCATTCAACAAGACAAGAAGCCACCAAGAAAAACTGAGAGAAAGGGCTGCCCCTAGAAGGCCATAGTCCAAAACATAGACAACTACCCAAGTGAGAAGAATGTGAACAAGGAAGACACCAACTGACATATATGCAAGAGGATTCACAATGTTCTGAGCTTGGAGGAACCTCTGCATTGGACAGCTTATAGTAAATGCATAGAGTTGGGGAATGAGTCCCCGGGAAAACACTTGCCCTCTCTCTGCTATGCTCTCTGACTGTCCTATGGCTTTCAGAAAATCCCCAGAAAACCAGTACAGAAATGAAAGAATCACTGCTGCTCCAATGTGTAAGATCACTGCTCTTTGCAATATGATGCTCATTGCTCCAAGCTTTTTTGCCCCATATGCTTGCCCACACACAGTTTGCACTGCACTTGCCATTCCCAACTGTTTAAGCAAAATATATGCAATCATCACAAATATTCAATCAATACTAGTATCATAATACTCTTACTCTGCTATACACTTTGTACAGTTTAAATGACTTAAAACTACACAAAGATGAGTGATGTTAAGTAAAAAGTAAGAAGAAAACATTCATGAAATTGCATCTGATTTTGTACAAGTGAAAGAATATGTTCAAAAGAGTATGTTAAGTAATAGTGTTCATACCATAATACCATAAGCAAGACCCTGAATACCAACACTGGCTAGAGATGCCCCAGCAAGCTCTAGAGACCCCAAATGGCCAGTGAACATCAAGGTCACAAAACTAAGCATGTAATTGAAAATGGACACAACAATAGAAGACCCAGAGAGAAGCCATAGGAGCCTTGACTCCCACACAACAAGCTTTGACCACCATTTCAATGCAATAGGCCTATGTTCCAAGAATTCTTCAATGGCCTCAGATGACAAATTTTGAATCTGTGTGTGCGAGTCAAGCCTCACTAGTAAGGGTTGGTGCTCCAAAGTGTCATTAAAGTCCACGGAGCCCATGGTTATTGTGTGCACTTACTGTACAAATCACAACCAGTTTGAGTGCATGGAGTGAGACATCACAAATAAGCAGTTATTTATGCATGTGGAAGAGTGAAATATTTGTTCACCAAAGATTATGCAGCTAACCTTCCAACATGTTGTGTTGCAGTTGTGTCCACGTGCTTGCATATGGTATCTATTTATTTGTACATCAAAAAGTGGAATCTTTTTAATGTCACCATTGATAAATAATTAGATGGCTCTCTCCAATGTAGTAATAAAAAAAAAACAATTTTCTACCCTTTTGAAAGATTGGTAGACTGACACTAGAAAATATGTACAAAAAGTTAACAGAAAATGTGATTTGTTCAAAATGAGAAGAACTGACATTCCGTCATGAAGCAGCTGAAAGTCTTCAATAGACTGTTAGAGTATCAGAAGAACGAAAAAGAAAAGGTGAGAAAGAAAGAAAAGGATAGAAAAAACATTCCATTTTTCTCTTGAAAATGGTATGATAAAAGATACTTTTTAGACTTCCTTCCCACCTCCTATAATTAAATGCAAAGTTTCTTTTTACAGCATTATACATATTATACATATTATATATATATATATATACATACATACATATATATATATATATATACATATATATATATATATACATATATATATATATATATGTATGTATATATAAATTTACTAACTTTCAAAATAAATATCTTAAAAAATTATATTTAATATTTTTAATTGATTAATAGTATAAAAACTTTCACTTTAATAAAGTACATTCAATGTGGGCTGTGTTTTGGAGGGGTTTAAGATTTTGTCTTTTTCCTTTAAAAGGAAAAATTAAGTGTATTACAATAATGTTTGTAATGCCAACATGTTAGTGTTGAATATTTCATTATCATTTGTTGTCATTGCTTTTACCAAAAACATGTTTAAATTTTAATGTTTTTCTCAAGCATAAGATTTTTTCCTCATTCGTTCTGGATAAAAAAGGTTAAAATATATTTTTATGCTTAATTTTTCAGGTGTTGTTATTTTTTCAAAATCCAGCCATCAATATTTTTTCAAAATGGAGTAAACTTTTTCTAATATGTTAAACTTCTCAGTGAATTTTGGGAAGATTAATTTTTTATGGATGTAAATTAGACATCTTTTTTATTGACATGTACGGTAATTATTGTATTTTATGAAATGGAATAGAATGAGAAATTAATATAAATGACCAGCTCTTTTCAATGAGCCAGGAAACCTATTGTCAAAAGATTAAATTATCATCAGATAAACTACATTTAAAAAAGCATTAAATTTAATAGATTTAAATTGTTTCATCCAACCATCTAGGGATCATTGTATTTGATTATCTACATAAATCCATTCCGTTCGATGTTTAATATAAGAATCATCAAGGTGATAAGATTCATGCTTGCAAGAGGTCAACCAGTTTCACTATAAAAGAAATTTACAAGTTTACAGCTCAAAAGATATATGTACAAAATTTCAGAAACAAGCAGAACAACGACATACAAGCCAAGTTGAAGGCTCTCAAAAATATTGAATCAACGCCATCTAATCTTCCATAACCGGTTCATCCATAAAACTTCTCCAAGTGCGTTGTCAATTGGCTCGGAAATCCAATTTCAATTCATGTCAAAACTGCTGATAAAATTTTTACTTGTTATATACATCAAATAGCAATTTCTGTTGATCTTTACTCAGCCCAGAGAACCACTTCCTCAAAATTTCAGTGTTAGATATAGAATAAGCTGAAAGATTGATGTTGGAATGAAAAAGGGTTTCAAAATCAAGAGGAAGAAGACCAAACAGAGCACTGGCAGTGGCAAATTGAAGAAAAAGGTCTGCTTTCATGGAATAGGAGCGAGAAAAATAAGCAAACAAAAAACATCTCAAGTTTCTAACACCTTGGTCTTCAAATCCACCAACATCAACTCCATTCCTGAAATTTATAACATTTATCACTTAGAACACAAACAATATTATGTAAAAGCATTCTTTGTTAAAACAAATACGATCAAATAATATTTTAATGTCGAAAATCAAGAGAAATCAAATAATTTGTATCTTGAAGCCTAACATTGTGTATGGACAAGGGATTTTTAAAATTTCAAGAAATTAAAATGCGTGGCAATAGAATTGCTTCTAATAGAATTATCTTAATTTTCTAAATCTTTTGTTTGGATAGAATAATTAAAATATTTTACAAAAAGTGGGATTTAGTGTTCAATTAAAAATCATTACTTCCTTTAGACAACTCTAAATGATCTTAATTGTAAGAGGTTCTGTTTATCTTGATAAGCCATTCATCTATCTTCTCAATTTCTCACTCTTATGAAACATACATATATCCTCTATTCATACAAACATATGTATCATATTATGCATGAATGATTGGTCACAACAACAATATCAAAGCAAAATAGACCAATTTACCTTCCAAGCTGACCTAGAAGAACAATTATACGAATAGCGAAGTTCTCATCCACACATGAATCGAGTATATGCAGCAGCTGAGGAACAAGTTTCATATCAGCCCAGTGCCAGCTCTGTATTAGAAAAAGAAACATCAAATCAGGAGGATTGATTATGATGAAACCACCTAAATAATAATATGAGAAGTCAAGAACAATATAGCTCTTAACCACGCAAAAAATTGGCCTTGGCAACAAGTCAATTATTTCAGCAAATGATAGTGAATAACATGAATGACACGCATTCAAGAAACATTTTCATTGTCAATTTCACATCGTATAATTCTATTAATCAGTATGGCATCAACTCTAAAAGAATTTCACTAATTTCAGGAAGGTAAATTTCTCCATAAATTTAGAACTTGATAAAAAAGAATTTATAAATCAAGGGTCAATAATGAGAATAATACCATTTTATTTGCTACCAGTTCCACAAGTGACAGGACATCACTCAGGCAACAACAGTCGACAGTTTTAAGGGCGTCAGGTTGAGGTGCAGAAATCAAGCATTTTTCCGAACAGGGCTTGTCAATTGCACATTGAGCAGACATGAATCTAGATTCTGAAGAATGTACTCGTTTTATCTCCTCCAACAGCAAGCTTGCAACTGCATCAATGGATTCGGCACCTTCCAAGAATGGGCATTTAACATCCATACACAATTCAGCATGCAGCTGATTTATTGAAGGAAGACAGGCAGTAGCAACAGATAGGCTCCCATCCTCAAGAAACATAATTAGAGACTTCAAAACTGTCACCATTAAACCATAATTATTTTTGTTGAAAAACTTATCTCCACCCAGATAAGAAAAAATATGGAGAATAGTCAACACCATCAGAGAATCCAACTTGCTCGATCGAAGAATATGATAAGAAGCATCACAGATAAATCCAACATAATCCGTTGCAGCACATACTGATGATAATATAATACTTGCTGCCACCAATTGTTCACTCGAAGCTGCATCAGATGATACCTCCTCATTAACACAACTCAGAAAATCATTGGCTCTCAAGTCAGAAGACAGAGTTTCAGCATCTACTCTATTGTTTACTATAACTTTTCCCTCTATAAGAAAATCTTCAATGAGGTGAAGCAGCTCATACAAAGAATAATTCTCTACAAACAGGATTCTCGTCTCTGCATCGGTCATAACTGAGGAAAAAGATGTGAACTTCGTCAAATTAAATTCAAGTTTAATGAAGAGCAAATAACAGGATATATATATATATATTAAAAGATTATTTTTCTGTTGACCAAATGAACCTGTGCAAATATGTTCATAATAAGATCGCAAGCACTGGAATGATTTCCCATCCAAGAGTCTCCCAAACGTCTTTGTTGTCGTTATGGAAAAATTGAACAGCATAAGTGTTAAGAGCACCGAAACCCTCTCCCTGAGAAATTAAAAAGTAATAATAATAAAATTAATATCAACACCATTTGTCTACAGTTAAATGAACTGTTTTTTGTCTCAACAAGGAAAGTAAAATACTGAAGCAAACTATAGAAGGTGTTCAACAGCATTGCCCTCATCCTATCAAAATCAGAACGAGACACTTACTTCTGTGTGAGCTTTTCTTCCATTTTAAGTGCAGTTAATATGTTACTAAACGCCCAGCTTGTTTGAGTAGACAAATTGCACTGAGCTATACATTTTTTTGTAGCAGTAAGTATCCTTGATATGATATTATTGTCCATAATATTTGAAAAGACGACACAAAATTCAGGAAGCTTATTGTTTAAAGATCCAATTCCATCCTCCACCGGAAAAGCAGTTCTTGAATTTTCTGTGTTCACATGTAAATTACAAGAAACTCCACAATCATCATATTTTTGTGCACTAGAAATTAATTCAACATCAGAGGAAGGTGAAATGATCAGGTCTGTTCTTGAACTCAACACATTCTCTGGAAGTGATTTATGTTGAGAGGGAATCATCAAAGTATCCTCGTCAAATATTTCATGAAATTCAATTTCAGGAAGAGATGGAGACAAGGGAAAATCCATTGCTTTTCTATAACATTCCTCACTGAAAGCATTTTCTAATTCTAATAATTTCATATAATTTTCATCAGGCACCTTATCAATATTAATTAAGGTATCAAAATTATTTGCAACCTCACATATTCTCTCCCCACATGCTTGAGTGATTTCTAAAGAATGTGGAGGAGGGCAGGAAGTGTGTCTACAGACATTTGCATCATCATAGACCTCACTGTTGGTCTCTGCTGTTGCTTTTTTCTCGTCCCTGTTAACCCAAGGTATGATGTCCACTTTTTCCCTTCGAGATTTCTTTCTCTTCTTGTGGGCCCTTTTTTTATCTTCCTGTACATTATTAGGATTATGAAGCACTGCTTTTCCTTCTAAGCATTCGCCAAGTTTTCTATATAACAAACCATGAAAATCAGAGAGTTTCTCAGATGACAAATTTGCAATATATTCAACTGTATCATGCATTCTTTTCCTCTTCTTGTGGTGCACATCAATAGATTTATCAGATGGGTTGCACATGTTTTGTTTAGCATTAAAGATCTCCTGGGTCAATTGTGCTGAGGCAGTAACTGGAAAAATGCTTGCATCCTGTGAGCCCATCAACTGTCCATCAGAAAAAGATTCTGTACTGGAATTTACAGCAGAACTCTGTAACTTTGTTCGGTTGGATCCTCTAACAAGAGGCTCCAATTTAGAACCAATACCTGTGATAGATTCGGAACAATTTCCACCAGGAGTGAGGTGTGGAGTGCTATTCTTCCTCAATGGATCACTTGCATCCACGGTTGTGCAGCAAGGCTCCAAAACCTCATTATCAAATTGGCCACGCATCGCAGACAAATTTAGCTTGCCAATTTGTCTAATGACATTTGAATTCTGCATGTCTAGTATATTCTCATGCTGCAAAAGTGATCATCCAACAAAGATAAAAATAGTTAAGTCAGGCATATACAAGAAAAACATGGAATAAAAAAGAGAGCCAAGAAAAGAAATTTAAAACAAATCCCAATTATATGAATTCAGACACGTAACCAAGTACATCCGCAACTACTAAACAATTATTTAGTGCTGATACATAATATAACAACACAAATAATTATGTCTTGCTTTAAGAGGATACTGAAAACCCTCATTTCCCTTAAGTTAATGAATATGTTAGCACTACTGTTATATGATCATAAAACCAAATATTGCAATAATTTAGGGGACAACCAACCAATAAGCTCATAAACAATTGTCCATAACATAAGTAGTCCAACACTTTAATCTGCATATGAGAGTAGTCCAGTATGAGATCATTGGCTTCAAAAGTTGCATGATTTCAACCAGTAGATGAGATAAAAATTTGGCAAAAAACAAAAACACTCAAACATTACACATAACCGTAAACAATTTGCCACTGAAACCAACCTTTGTTTGTTCACGCTTAGTTCCAGCAACAGGTGAAAAGGATGCATCAAGCATATCAACATGATGTAGAAATTGAATGAAATTGATCTTGAGACGTCCTAATTCATTCCGTAAAATGTCATACCGACTTGCTTCTAACTTATATTTTTGCCTGATATGCTTTGCTCGTAGCTTTTCAAGCTTTAGTTTGTTCTTCAAAAGCTTCATTTTTGTACTTTCAGCTTTAACCTTGCTGTGAGTAGCCATTTCAACAGGCTTTGCCAAGGATGAGAGTTCAAGGATCTTCTGTTTAAAATCCTCAATTGTCTTCTTATCCTCTTCTAACTGCCGAGACATCTGATCAGAAAGACATTTCTCTTTCATGAACTTGTTCCAGTTATCCTCAGCAAGTGCCTTCTGCTCCTCTAGTTTAACCATCTCTGAATCTGCACGCCTTTTTTCCTTGTCGACCTTTTGTTTTTCTACCTCTAACATTTCATTTGCTCTTGCCAACGCTGAATCAGCCTTTCTTTTTTCTGCTAATAGTTTGCTCTTATCAGCTTCAAACTTTTTGGTTGCCTCTTTAAACATAGATATCTCAGACACCAACTTCGTTTTTGCTTCATTAACCTGTTTCTCCAATTGACCAATTTGAGTCCTATACTTCTCTGCCTCAACTCTGGCAATCTCTCCCTTTTCAGCAGCCTTCTTCTTTTCTCCTTCTAGTAACTTGCATGCTGCAGAAGCTTTCTTTCTATCAGAATCAGCCATTCTCTTCTTCTCCTCTACAAGCTCCTTCAATCTACAGATTTCCTTTTCATTTTCAGCAACTTTATTTTTCTCTTCTCCAAGTAGCTTGCAAACTTCATTGTCTTTCTTCCTCTCAGAATCATCCCTTCTCTTCTCTGCCTCGATAAACTCCTTCAATCTACCTATTTCCTTTTCCTTTTCAGCAACCTTATTCCTTTCTTCTCCAAGTAACTTGCAAAGTTCATTGTCTTTCTTCCTCTCAGAATCATCCCTTCTGTTCTCTGCCTTGATAAACTCCTTCAATCCACTAATCTCCTTTTCCTTTTCAGCAACCTTATTTTTCTCTTCCCCAAGTAACTTGCAAACTTCATTGACTTTCTTCCTCTCAGAATCATTCCTTCTCTTCTCTGCCTCAATAAACTCCTTCAATTTACCTATTTCCTTTTCCTTTTCAGCAACCTTGTTCTTTTCTACTTCAAGTAACTTGCAAAGTTCATCATTGTCTTTCTTCCTCTCAGAATCACTTCTCTTCTCTGCCTCGATAAGCTCCTTCAATCTACTAATCTCCTTTTCCTTTTCAAAAACCTTATTCTTCTCTTCTCCAAGTAACTTCCATACTTCAGCCTCTTTATTCCTCTCAGAATCATCCCTCCTCTTTTCTGCCTCTATAAGCTTCTTCAGTCGACTGATTTCATTTTCCTTTTCAGCAGCCTTCTTCTTCTCTTCTCCTACCAAATTGTAGGCTTCAGCAGCTTTCTTACTCTCAGAACTAGCCCTTCTCTTCTCCACATCTAAAAGCCCTTTCAACCTACCGATTTCATTTTCCTTTTCAGCAGCCTTATTCTTCTCATCTTCTAGCAATTTGCAAGCTTCGGCAGCTTTCTTGCTCTCAGAATCAGCCCTTCCCTTCTCCACCTCTAGCAGCTCTTTCAATCTACCAATTTCCTTTATCCTATCCGTTTGAAAGGTCCCGTTCTCATCCCCACGGCCGCTGAACCCCTGCTGTGTTGTGGGAGTATCAATCTGAGGCTCAAAGCTGGAAGTTTCACTCCCTAAGGGTACCTTAGCAGCAGTAAATTCCCCCAATTTATCCCCTCCTTCAACTTTGGCCCCACATGCTGCAGAGAATAACATCACATCACATCAATACCATATTCAACATTCACTCAAACAAACTAAGCCAATAAAATATGCATACTACGAACATAACCAGATAATGCCTGATACTCCAAATCTTAGAAATATAAAATATTAGTTACCGTTGCTGCTGCGGGACTGGATTTCGTTGATTTTGATTTCCAGAACCTTGACGGCTTGTCGCAGAGCATTGCGCGATTCTTGCACCTTCGAGTATTTCTTCTTCCACTGCGTATAAAAAGAGAAAGAAGATATACTGTTAAAATCTAAAGTGTAGCGATAAAAGTTGGACATGCGTAAAAGGAAGAGGTACTACGTGGTCACAACAGGGATTTGTGGAACCAGATTTTAGTGTCTGATCGCGATTCATTGACAATGTCATATTTGCAATGCAGTGAAATGCAACGAACGACGCTAAGAGCCGGTGACGGAGGTGACGGCGGTGACGGAGGTAACGGTTGTGACGGTGGCGAAGTAAACCCTAAACCCCATCACAGTGCTTCAATATTGAATCTGCAGAGTTGAATTCACTCTTATTAGTGTGAATTTTGGGTTGCAATTAAAAATACAAGGAAAAACAAATAATAGAGAAATTCACTTTTAAATCTTAATAATAAAAAATAAACAAAAATACTCATTCATTTTGGCCATCGAACAAAAAATGGATAAAAAAAGCATGTCCTCGAAAATAAATTACAAAATCCATAATTTTAATTCTTCTTTTCTATTTAATAGGACATACTATTTTGTAAGTCTAATAAAATTAGTTTAATATGTTAATTTTAATTTATTTTGTAAAAATGTTATCATAATATTAATTTTTGCTATTGATAGAAATTAAAATCAACACTGATTATAAATATATTTATAATAACTCTTTTTTTTTCAATTAAGTGAACTATTGTCTAATTAATAAATTAGATATATTTTTAAAAATATAACCGGTGAAATGGTTGTGACTAAATAAAATATCATATTTATAATATGATAACAACGAAATTATATTCTTTGTTTGATATTTGTATTGATTATAATGACTAAAATTTATAAAAGTTATACCAAATATGACGCATTTGAATAAATGTTAATTGTACAATTTTGCAGAAAAGGTGAAAAAAATATCAAATTTAAATTGAAATAAAATACATTAAATACTTTGGGGGATGGAAGATAGTTAAAAAGGAAAATTTAATTCAGAATAGTTTATATAATTAATTTATTAGTTGGCTAAGTAAATATTCATTGATCCATATTTAGCTAGTTTATGAATATTTTTCTTTTTTTGGATTATGATGTTATGTATATATATAAAGTAAAATTAAATAGTGGAAATTGTAATTGAAATTGGTAAATAAAATTTTGGAAAAAGATTCCTCATCATTTTTTTGTTAATTTTATTTTATATTAATAAAATTCATCAAAATGAAAAACTTTAATGGTAAATCATATAATACAGAGAGAAAGTGTTCCTATGTTTGGTTGGATTTTGGTTGAGAAGTCTGTGAGAGATTCATGTGTAAGCAACCATTGAACACGAAGGTGTTGCTTTCATTGTCACCATTCTCCAACAGCATTCGCTTCTTCTCTTCTGCGACTTCTTCAACTGCAACCATCACAATCACACCTTCAATCTTGAAACAATGCAACTCTTTAACCCAGGCCAAAGTGTGGCATCAGCAGAGCATCGTGCAGGGCGTTCTGCATTTGGTGACCGACCTAATCGGAGCATACATGACTTGCAATTCCACTACCGTCGCCATTCAGCTTCTAGAGCGCCTCCCTCCATCGCCGTCTTCCGTTTTCTGGTGGAACCAACTCATAAGGCGCGCCCTTCATCTTGGAACCCCTCGCCAAGTTTTCGCTCTTTTTCTTCGGATGAAGTCACTGGGGTGGACCCCTGACCACTATACCTTCCCTTTTGTCTTCAAAGCTTGTCCCTTTCTCTCCCTCGGTGCTTCCCTACATGCTACCGTCGCACGATCTGGCTTTGCCTCCAATGTGTTCGTTAGCAATGCGCTGGTCTCCATGTATGGAAAGTGCGGAGCCCTCACCCATGCACAACATGTGTTCGATGATTTGTGTCAGCAGGGTGTTCAGGACTTGGTGTCGTGGAATTCTATTGTGTCTGCTTATATGGGGGCGTGCGATTTAAAGACTTCACTTTTGTTGTTTCGTAAAATGACTAGAGTGAATTTGATGTCCCCAGATGTGATCAGCCTTGTTAACGTACTTCCTGCTTGTGGTTCCTTGGCTGCCTTGCTGCATGGCAGAGAGGTTCATGGGTTTGCTATCAGAAGCGGGTTGGTGGATGATGTTTTTGTGGGAAATGCTGTGGTTGATATGTATGCTAAGTGTGGGGAGGTGGAGGAGGCCAATAAGGTTTTCCAGAGGATGGTGTTTAAAGATGTTGTTTCATGGAACGCCATGGTGACTGGCTACTCTCAAGCTGGCAGATTGAAACATGCTCTTTCTTTGTTTGAGAGGATGCGGGAGGAAGACATTGAGCTAGATGTCGTGACTTGGACGGCTGTTATCACAGGTTATGCGCAGCGAGGACAGGGTTGTGAAGCTTTGGATGTGTTTAGGCAGATGTGCAGTTGTTGTTCTCGTCCGAATGCGGTCACTCTCGTCTCACTGCTTTCAGCTTGTGCCTCTGTTGGGGCATTGCTCCATGGGAAAGAAACACATTGTTATGCAATCAAATTTATTCTCGGATTAGATGGACCTGATCCTGGGGACGATGATTTGAAGGTGATTAATGGTCTCATTGACATGTATGCTAAATGCCAAAACACAGAGGTGGCTAGAAAAATGTTTGATTCAGTGTCTTCAAAAGATAGAGATGTGGTTACCTGGACTGTGATGATTGGTGGGTATGCCCAACATAGTGATGCCAATCATGCTCTACAGCTTTTCTCCGAAATGTTTTATGAGTCTACAAAGCCTAATGATTTCACTTTATCATGTGCCCTTGTGGCCTGTGCTCGTTTGGCAGCATTGAGGTTTGGAAGGCAAATCCATGCTTATGTGTTGCGCAATTGCTATGGTTCTGTTATGATGTTTGTGGCTAATTGTCTTATAGACATGTATTCCAAATGTGGAGATGTCGATACCGCTCAGATGGTTTTTGACAACATGCCACATAGAAATGCTGTCTCTTGGACGTCATTAATGACTGGATACGGCATGCATGGGCGTGGTGAAGATGCTGTCCGGGTTTTTTATGAGATGAGGAAAGTGTCTCTGGTGCCTGATGGCATAACCTTTCTTGTTTTGCTTTATGCTTGTAGTCATTCGGGAATGGTGGATCAGGGTATTGATTTCTTTAATAGAATGAGGAAGGAATTTGGGGTAGATCCTGGACCAGAGCATTATGCTTGCATGGTTGATCTGTGGGGCCGCGCTGGTCGGTTAGGTGAAGCTATGAAGCTCATTGATGAAATGCCAATGGAACCAACCCCAGTAGTATGGGTGGCCTTGCTCAGTGCTTGTCGGTTACATTCGAATGTGGAAGTTGGGGAACTTGCGGCAAAGCGTTTGTCAGAATTGGAATCAGGGAATGATGGATCATACACGTTGCTTTCAAACATATACGCCAATGCCAGTCGCTGGAAAGACGTAGCTAGGATTAGATATATGATGAAACGTAGTGGAATCAAGAAAAGACCGGGTTGCAGCTGGGTGCAAGGAAGGAAAGGAGTTGCAACCTTTTTTGTGGGAGACAGATCTCACTCACAGTCTCAACAGATATATGAAACACTTGCAGACTTGATTCACCGCATTAAAGCCATAGGATATGTTCCTCAGACAAGTTTTGCTCTCCATGATGTTGATGATGAAGAAAAGGGTGATCTGCTTTTTGAACATAGTGAGAAGTTGGCTCTTGCCTATGCCATTCTAACGTTACCGCCGGCTGCACCCATTCGAATAACCAAGAATTTGCGGATCTGTGGTGATTGCCACACTGCCATAACCTACATATCCAAGATTATTGAAAATGAGATCATACTTAGAGATTCAAGTCGCTTCCATCATTTCAGAAAAGGATCCTGCTCATGTAAAGGCTACTGGTGACAACGGAATCAACCCAATCCGTTTAATTTATGACATTTTTGCTACGAGAGAGGTAATTATATTATTTACTACACTAATGAGAAATGTACAATGATCCTTTATGTAATTAGAAGGGAACTATTAGAATCAGCCTAACAGTAGAAAATTTACTAATTTATATAAATTCTTACATTGTAATTTTATCGTCGCCATTACACACAAAAATCTGTTTTTCGAACTTCTTTCCAAGATAATCACAGTAGCCTTTGTGATTTGGATTTTTTGTTTAATAGATGTCAGGGTTGTGTATTGAGATGGAAATTTTGATGTAAAGTGAAATATAAACAATATTAAAAAAAATCAAAGAAACTAATTTTGTTAGAAGGAATATGAAATTCAAGAAAAATTATATAAGAATAAATGGAGAAACACAAAATCAGAACTGATTTCTGTAGTGTAAATGCAATTTGTAAGATTAGTTTCATTCCAATAAATATTGCAATTCATTGTCAGGGACTGATAGTGCGTATATCAACGTGAGAAATTATGGATTTTATGTTTTTACGGAGGCATTGCCTCTTAAACCTGACCAGCTATCATTATAATGTGTGTTCCATGAAAAACTTGTGTCAGGTGAGTTGAAAGACTAAAGAACATCGAAGCACATGTAAAAGGGGAAAATACAAAAATTAAAATGAACACTCAAACTAAAAACTATGCGTAAGGTAAAAAGTACTGCAACTTATATTTCACAACTCCAAAAAAAATCATTGGAAACGTCCTTTATTACCATAATAAATATCAATGAAATTATTTTTTTATGTTTTAGAACTCAAGTTGACGAAAACTTGTTCGTTGCCCAGTCTGTCAAATACGATGGAAATGACTCCGGTGCGGCGTGCGTATACAAGAAAATGGAGCAACAACTAAGCTCCCAAATATGGATTGCAAGAATTAAATAAGAGATGATAATTAATACTTGCTATAAGCAACTAACCATTACAGAAACAAGGTCACCTATTATAATTTACAGTCATTTGCTGTTGATCTATATATAGACCTTGCTATAAGCAAGTATAAGCAAATCACTATATCTCAACCATTAATGTGAAGTATAAGATTGCTGGACCAATTCAAACACAAGAAATTTTGTAGCATAGAATTCTGCCACCACAATTTTTCAACTAACATTCCTTACACGGGAGAATGTCCTAGTAGTGAAAAGACCCCATTGATGCCATGCCATTTCTGGACCTTCTCAACTCTTGTTGACTCACATAATTGTCACAAGAGTTGCCAGAGGCAGAAAGTTTGTGACCAGGGGCAGAAGTAGAAGGACTAACACCTTTCCCAATTTGCTGCACTTCCAGTGGAGATAGTATTTGATGTGCCACACATTGTTCACAACCCCTGCAAAATTATTAAATGTAACTGCTTCTGTGCAGAATCAGGAATCAGATAAATCTAAATTGAAGTATTAAACTTTCTAGTCAGGAATCAACTCATTCATTGGCTAAATGTTGATCGAAATGGAAACATAACAAATTATGCAATTTTCGTTTGCTGTAAATAAATGTCAAACGTCATACGGATAAGGATCTTCAGGAAAAGTAGAAGAGCCAGAGAGGGTAATTTGTATATGATTAAGGACTATACACTCAACTTTGTAATGATTCTTAACACAGCTTTCATACTGTTCATACAAAACAAAAAATTAGACCAACCAAGGTTGACTAAAATTTAAATATTACAACAGTAATACTACGTTTAGGACTAGAAATAAATTTGACCAAACAAGCTATAAGAGTTCATCTTGTTAATTTTAAGAGGACAAGGTGTTAGGGGCTAGGGGCTCATCACAAGCAAAGAATCCAAGCCAACCAAGTAAGGATGTGACGGTATGCAATAAGACAGAAGTAGAAATAGCACAGCCATCTTATTCATGCATACCCTAATGAAACAAAATTACTGCTTAGAAACCTATGCCCTGCTGCCAATGCTACTCCAATTAATGCTTTGCATGATATAAAGAAAGATCACAGTTTTATCTAATATGCAAGACCATCATCAGAGCAGTGTTTCTTTACCAGTAATTATGTGCAACAGCATAAAGTGGACGTAGAAATGTAGATACACGAACCATAAAAAATTTATATTGAAAACTTTACAACAACAAACCATGAAATGTGTGCAAATTTCCATTCATTATCATGAACATCTCCGGCTATTAGTTCTCGAGCAGGAGGCTGCTGTGAGTAATCCTGAGAAACAAATTAAAGAAACATATAAAAGACAATATCACTAAGTTAATATGACTTCCATGAGGAGGGGAAGACTTTTTCAGCAGCTCTTCGAGGAAAATAAAATCCTCCATGAGTGCTGGGTATCACTTGTAGTAAATGTTTTGCAGGAGTATCGGTTGGTTGCTTGCTGGGATTGCTCAATTCAGCACGCAGAAGATACACCACCTTTTGCTCTTGCTACAAAATCAATAATGTCAACATATGCTACAAAAATTAAAAATAAAAATAGATCAAGGTGGAAATAATAGAAAAAGTACAGAACTTAGAGGTTGCAGTCACTTGCACATATACTTCTGCTTCAGCATCAGGATGCATGATTTAAAGGTTCGGAGTGCAAGCCCGTTAAAATGTTCCAGATGTACATTTAATCTGAAGTTCTGAACTATTTATGTTATCCTCACGTGCACTTTCACTTTTTCAAGCTAACAGATAAGTTGCCGTGGCAAGTTAGGGTAACTAGGAATATGTGCATCTACTTCCCTGTTGGTTGAAGCGGCAACCTGCAAAATCAGCATCTACATTTGTCAAATGATTTAAAAACAAATATAAATGAAATACATGAGAAGCAATCAGTTATATGGAAATGTTAAATGCAACAATAGTTTAGGAAAGACAGTCATTAGGCTGGAATCCCCTCCTCCTCCTCCTCAGGGGAAAAAATATAAACTAAAATTAATCATGATGATACGCCAAAGAGTTCTCTGTCTGTTTGTCACTCTAACTTTTAGCATAGCAAGTATACAAGAGATTCATACCATGATTATCAGGCTGACCAAGGTTCAGATTTTCTATCACTGAAACCATAATGTCAATTTCTATTTAAAATTTAACAAAATGTGGCTATGCTCACTTCAAACTCAAGCAATACCACATCACTAAAGTGGTACCAGCAGCAACAACAGAAAGCCTAAGTCAAAAGATTAGTGAAACATATTTGTTTTTTCCTTCACTTAATTAGCCCATCCTGTCTCCTTCCAGGCTGAATGACTAAAACACTAAACCCTGAAGTCTGCTAACATGTAACTTACAGCTTACAATCCCGCTTAGATTATAAGGGTATACTACATGAGTTCTAATTTTTGTACTTCTGATTTTCATGAGCATTGCAGCTTCCCCAAATATCCTCAAAATGCTACAAAATTAAGGATTGTTCAATAAAACCCAACTTACAGATACAAGCAGAATTACTAACCTGCTCATTGTGACCTTGGGGAAAGTAGACTACTAAATGACTTCCAACAGGAAGTAGAAAAACCAGAGGGCCAGCACATGCATGCCAAGGGTCGGTATTCAAACATTTTTTTCTCTCCTAAAAATCATCTACTATGAATACACATGAAGTAAATCATTTCACACAAGTCAATAGTCTAGTCTACAAGTGGCACATCAGTAATCAGCACATTAGATCCACCGCATATATACCAATGAAAATAACATACCACGATCCGAACTCCAACAACACAAACAAGCAGGCAAACAGAATAACCACACGTATATAGAAACACAACTAAACCTTAGTCACCCAAAACTTAAAAATCATTAACAGGTAAACAGAAAAACCAACCATAAATAGTTTTGACAAACACTTGTTTACCATAATACATGCATGTTTGCTTGTATATTTACGCATGTACTACATTAGGACACTAAAAGTTAGCCTGCAACATGAAAATGAAGAGTGAACATAAGGATAACAACAGTTATTCTTCCATATAGAAAATTCTACACTACACACAGTACATCTCAATCAAAAGTTGAAAGGAGCTTACCTTTCGATATTCAAGAATGACTTGTATTTTAACTTCCATGTTACAAATCAAAAGATAATGCTGCGAAAATTAGCAGCTATCTTTCTCCATTGGTTGTCGAGGACTTGAGTATGTGGATGAGCATCATTACTCCTCATTCTTCAAATGCACTTCTGAATGTAAAATATGGCTTGAAGACTCATGTCTGGTAGGTTAGCATTGCGAAATTCAGTATCATAATAGTAGACATCTACTGGAAGCTCCAAATACCTTTGCAAGTTAGAACTGAGCATAGGGTCATGAATGATTACCTTCCAAAGATATTATCCATGGGCAGAGTCATGAATGATCACTTTCAAAAGATATTATCTTCTATCAAAAGCTGGTCACTTGGCCCCTCGATGAAGAGAATTCGCAGTTGGGAGTCTTTTCTTGGGTATCTTTCTATCTCTAATACCATCATGGAGTAGTTCGTAAGTGTGATAAGTTATGTGACCCTTTTTCAACAAATCTTCTACAAGAATCTTAGGCGCCGCTACCACCTTTTTATCAGCTTCAAAAATTGTATTTACAGTATTTGGAATGATGCCCTTTTGTAACATACAGTGGATGATACTAACTGCTTCTGGAACCTTGTCCTTTGCACACAAACAATTTAAAACCCGTCCAAATGTTGTCAATGATGGTGTAAACCCCTTTTCAATATTTTCCAAAAGAAAATTGTATCCTTGAGAAATATTTCCCATTTTGCAAAAGCCATCTATGACAACCCGATAGGTATAGTTGTCTGGGTCACAGCCATTGCCCTTCATCTTAGAGAAGAGCTTCATGGCCATAATCATGTTGAGTTGTTCAGAAAATGCACTGATTATGATGTTATATGTTGCGGTTGTATGGCAAACATCATATTGTTTTTCCATCCTTCTAAATAACCGGTAAGCACCATCCAGATCCCCAATCTTACAGAACCCAGTGATCAATGTGCCAAAACTAACAACATCAGGTTTCAAACCCTTGCTTTTCATTTCCCCAAGCAAATCTACAGCTTCACTTACTTTCTTAGCTTTACAAAGGCTCTCTACAATAATGTTATACGTAACTATGTTTGGAGCACATCCCTTCTCCTCCATAGCCTTGAAAATCTCCATTACTTCTTCAGATTTTGCAGCCTTGCAAAGCCCATTCAGCAAAGTGTTGTATGTGATAACATCGGGAGTCATGCCCAGACTCCACATTCTATTTACTACCTCAGTTGCATTGTCTAACTTCATCTGTTTACAATAGCCATCGATCAAAGTATTATAGGTAAATATGTCCGGGAGGCACCCTTTGGCAATAGCATCATCTACAAGATGAGTAGCATCAGACACACAACCCATCTTGCACAAGCCATTTATAACTAAATTATAAGTCCATATATTGGGTTGACAACCATTTTCCGACATCTCATTCATCAATTGCAAAGCGGGTAAAATAAGACCCTGCTGAGACAACCCTTTAATCAAGGTATTGTAAACAACAACGCTCGGCCTCAAACCTTTTCCCAGTCCATCCTTAAAGACAGCCATGGCTTGATCAGGGTCACCGTCCCGGCAAAACCCATTAATTAGGGAACAATAAGTAAACTCATCAGGTTTAAAACCCCTAAAAATTGCATCCTTCAGCACCCTATTTGCACATTGCACCATCCCCTTCTTGCAGTACCCATCAATAATACTATTATAGGTAAAAGCATCAGGCTCAAATCCATCATTCACCATTTTCCGCAAGTAATCTTCTGCCTCCACAACCCACGAATTCCTACACAGACCACATATCAATATATTATAAGTGACGACATCAAGACTCAATCCCTCCCTCAACACACTATCCAACAACCTAACAGCACGGTCAAGAGCCCCTTCCCTACAAAGCCCTTGAACAAAAATATTAAATGTGAACAAATTGGGACAAACCCCCCTCTTCAAAGCCTTGCCGAGAAGCTTCTCACTTTCAGAAACAAGACCTTTTTTGCAAAGGACATGCAAAAGTTTATTAAACGTGACAACATCGGGGCACAAACACCGCGCAAGCATTTCATCAAACAGAACACTCGCATCAGCATGGTCACCAGAATCATACAGCCCAGCAACGACAGTGCAATAGGCGACAGCATTGAAATCACACCCAAGTTCAGGCATGTTTCGAAGGAGTCTGAGAGCAGCGTGAGGCCTGGAAGTTCTGCAGAAGGACTTGATCCTTACGGTGTAGGTGTACACATCAGATTCCACCCCTCTGTCTCTCATCCTCATGTATACTTTGTGGGCTTGGTCATGGTAACCGTACTCCACCAAAATGTTCATAATGGCGTTGTAGGAGTGAACGGAGGGGTCGCAGTTGTAGAAGTCCATGCGTTCGAAGGTGTCCACTGCTTCCTGAACCTTCCCCTTCCTACCATAGTTTTTCATGGCCTCGATGTACGCGCCTTCCAGAAGCGCGTTGCTGACGTACTCTCTCATTTCCGAAAGCACCTTCTCCATCTCCTCGAACTCGCCGTGATGGCCCAGCTTCTGCACCATGCACTTGTACGTTAGCAGCGTGTGCTTGAAGCCAGACTCCTTTTTCGCCGAGTTGAACATTTCCAGCGCTTTCAGAGGGTCCTTTTGGGCTTTCACCACCGCCGCAACGTGCTTCGGAAGCAGTACACGATTCATCTCAAAATCAACAACAACAAGAAGAAGAAGGGTGCCTCTCACATGGATTCAGGATTTCGACGTTTTCAATGTCTATACAGAGAGAGGGTTTGGTTCCACCATTAAAAGCAGAAAACTTTGAGTTTTCTGGTTATTCTGGCTTTGGCTCTGAGAATGGTACTAGAAAGATGACGAAGAAAATATATGGTTTTTAATTTCAAAATAAAAATAATTAATTAAGTTTAAAAAAATATTAGAGTTGTATTGTAAATTATTAATTGATTAGCCTTTCTTTAAACTGAAAAAAATCTTATATTTTATGTTTAGGCTTAATACAAAATAATCAAATTAATTTTGATAAAATTAAGAAGAATCATTTGAACATAACCAACAAAATTAAGAAACAAATTGGTATTAAAACTATCATTTATAACTTTCGAAAAAAATTGGATTTTTTTTCTTTTATCATAGAAAAATCTAACAATTCAACGTATTACACAACAAATTATAATATTTTAACATCACACATATAAAAACTCAGCATATAACATTATATTTAAATTTAAAACTAATTTTACTTATTTAGAAAACATTTTTAACTCAACTGTTCTAAAACTTTAGTTTCATAGGTGTTCTAATTACTTACACCTATCATATTACAAATTTAAACATATTATTACGATCACGTCAAAATAAATATCAACTTTAAACTATTTCAAGTAATATATATGGATTTTAGAATTATGCATAATATTAAATATTAAATAAAACAAAAAATTAAACTTATCTACTTGAGATTCTGATCTCAAAAAATTATAAAAAGGCAAAAAAGTTCTATACAAAAATGTGTTTATATAAAACAAAACTCAATTAACATTATGGTTAAATTTTTTATAAATAAAATGATCAAATGTCATTATTAAAATTATTACCACTTTTAAACTATTTTTAAATCTTTAAATAAACTTTAAAGTTTCGAGTTAAAAAATTAATTAAGAAATAAGAAGAAATGTTACACTAAAAGAGGAAAAAGTAAAATATATATATATAATTAATTTATTCCATGTGATAAAATAAAATAAATAAATTAATTGAATAATATAATGTTATGAAAACACTTTTATTAAAATTTAAGACATGAGTTTGAATTAAAATTGAAATAAGTTTTACTCTATAAAATTAGAAATATTATTTGAAGTTAAATTTTAGTTTATTTAAATAATTAATTATAAAGCATGTAACAAAATTTCACATATCAAATTTAAAAAGGTTAAAGTATAATAATAAAAAATTAAACAGAAATGGAAACTTTGATCGTTACAGAAGTAAAATAATTTTTTTACCTAATTTACAATCAAATAATAATATATTTACTGGTAATACTTAACAACTTGAATTTCATTATAAATAACTAAAATGGAATTGGATGACCATAAAGATATTTAATTTTTATTTTCAATTCTAGATAATGATTAAAAACAAGTATTATGTGTATTGTGATATATCAGTTCCTATATTTTACTTTTTTTACTTGGATCACTAATAACATATTTACTTTTTTATACATTTTTAAATTCGGTACATATACATTAACTTTGTACTCATTCAATTAAATATTATGTAAATTTATGTTTTTCTTTATAATAAAGTTCAAGTTGTTTTAAAACATTACTTATAATGGATTTAAATATACTCCGATCGGAGGGTAGATTACTTTATATTTATCTGTCTAATGTATAGTTACCATTTTCATTTTTCAAATTTTTTACTATATTTCAATTTTTTTTTAAATTGGTAGGTGGAAAACATTTGTCCATGATTCATAGTTAATTATTTAAATAAACTAAATTCAATTGTTAAACAATTTGTTGATATTATTTTTAATTTTATTAAGAAAATTTACTCCATAATTAATTATCTTTCAACTTTAATTTATACTTATCTTTATTAAATTTTAATAAGTGTATTTTAGTCTATTGTTCTTTAATTCAACCATTTTAAATCTTTTACTATCACATCAATCAAGTTAAGTAAGTACAAACTTTTATCTATTTTCTTTCACTTTTGAGTCTCTTCTCCTTAATCTCACTGACCTTACTTTCTATACTTTTTCTCTTCCTCTCTTTCCATTTTCATTCCCTTCTCAATCTAAACAATGTGTAAAATGTTAGATCAATCCATATATAAGTAACTTGCAATATATAACACCAAATTCTGCCACCATAACTTTTCATCAAACATTCCTTACAAGGAAGAATGTACTATTGAAAAATCCGCCATTGATGCCATGCCATTTCTGGGACTTCCCAATCTTGTTGGCTCACATAATTATCGCAGGAATTGCCAGATGTAGAAAGTTTATGACCTGGGGCAGCAGTACGAGGATTTATGTACCACATTGCTCTCAAACTACCTGTAAAATTGTCAAATGTAAGTGTTTCTGCGCAGAATCAGGAATCAGCTAAGTTCTAAAATTAAGTGCTTATATATTCAAATTTTAGTCAGCATCTTTGCTCTAGCCTCTGCTGTTTGGGAAGATATGCATGTAATTGATACTTCTGCATTGACTTCTATTTCGTTAGTCTCAAAGCAATGAAAATGTACTCAAAGTTAATGTGAAATACTGATTGAATCATGTGCGGTTAAATTTAAAGGGGTCCAACTAATACTTTCACTGTTAAAATTGGTGGGTCTCACTTCTTATATAATGACCACCCCATGGTTTTGTAATTTCAAATAAATTTCAACTAACGGTAGAGTGTGTGTTCGAAGGAATGTGCTAGAAGGCACTCTTCTCTAGAATATATATATATATCTACATATGTGTGTGTGTGTGTGTGTATACGTATATGTATGTATATAGCTAAGTTGTCTTCTCCAGCAGGGTGAACTTTAGCCCCCTAAGTCAACTTCTATCAATAGAAGATAAAGAAAGAAAACCCGAGAACAAGGAAAGAATAGGAGGTATGGAAAGAATCAAGATAAAAAGAAAGCTATCAATATTGATAATCCCCCGAACACGACATACTTGATAGGATAAAACTTCTTTGTTAAACATGGCATGTTTGTTTGTAAAGATAAAAGCAATGACTACTTTCAAAGAGAAACTGAGATAGTGACAGCAAAAGATAAGGAGATACAGAGGAACTCACAGAGTAGTAGTCCTTCTACCGAGCCCTGATGACTGGTTTGATTGTAACTTTTACTTCCTTTATGTCACGTAGCTAACTTTTATCACTATAAAATCAAACTAATTATTGATATAGTGGTGTGATATATTACATGGAAGTCCATGTGCTTCATTGTGGAATGTTGTCATTGTTTTAATCAAAACACATCACCTTCAACATCTGTTGGTGCTTCATTCCTCTCGAAAATCAAATGTCCCAAACTCAAAGTTTTGGTAACAGATTATAAGATTTTTCAGCAGTCTGACCAACACCAACTAGTCAGTTAATTTCTTCTCAAATGAAAGCTTAGCTGAAAATTCCATTTCTTTAAAAAGTCCAAATCAGAAAAACTAGAAGACACAAACAACTCACCTACCACTGTTTTCCCCTCAAATCCAAGCTCGTCTGCACCAGTCATCACACCAACTCAGCGGCTGTGACAGTTCCTTATCCCAGGCCAGTTCGCTTTTTCCTTATAATTCAAGCTAGTCCAGGGGAGCAACCAACTACGAACCCTGTGACTTCTTATCCACCCCAACAGGTAGTGTTTCTACAACACAAAACACCAATGCTCAAACCAATTCACCACAAGACCTACTAGCAATACAAGCACAAGCTAGAAACACAAAAAAAAAAAAAAACACTAAACTCAAACTACTGTTAAATCTAAAAGCTAAGTTTCACAATCATATCAATTCAACCAAGTAATCAGAGACGGAGATAAATAAATTGACAAAAAACCCGTCTAGTTTTTTAAAGCAAAAAGATCATATCAATCAATCAGAGGGGAGACAGTTCGACATGTGACAGGGGAACAATGGATACTATTGAAAGGGTTGCTTGTAATTGTTTATAGCGTGTCTCTATTTATAATGAAAAATAAATACGATAATAAGAAACACTATCAATAACTAATATTGAGAAATATTTGCTAAGATATTTTCTTATTTGATGTAATCAAATCATATCTTTAACTTATACCTCTTAAAAAGAAGTGGAACCAGCCAAACTACCTCTCTTTCTACTGATACTTCATAAAAAGTGAATGTTTATGCTTCATCTACAGAAAACTTCGATATGTTTGACGAGATAACGCAGAATAGTCTTTCCCCATTATGCACTTGTGCAAACTCCAAAATCCAACCAGCAATATGACTCATAAATATTAAAAACAAGTCACGGTAAAATGCTGGACTCCCAATTTTCCATGAGAGTAGAAAATGGATCAAAATTGAGACATCAGAATGCCAAAAGACAAATCAAATGAAATCAATACTCCATACAATATGTTGGCTTCACGGAGAAGAAGCTCCAAATTCCACCATGTAATCCTTAGAAAGTCTTGCTCCCCGTGGCATTTTTTTTACAAAATAGTTTATCAGTATTGACCAAGTGATTTCATTGGGAATGAACCCATTATCTACGCCTCTATGTAAAAGCAGACACGCATCATTAAACATATCCTCATGACAGTGTCTACTGATCAGTGTGTTATATGTAATATCATCAGGACAAATTCCTTCACCTTGTAACCTATTAAAAATGTTTAGTGCCTCTTGAACATGACCCATCTTGCAAAGACCATTGATCAGGCAGTTATAACTGACTACATTTGGTGTCAAACCACGATGAATCATATCCCGGAGAAATTTTAAAGCATCATTTACTTTTCCAGTTCTACACAAGGCACTGATCAAAATATTGCAAGTTGTAACAGTTGGAAAAATCCCTTTCCCAAGCATTTCTTCAAACAATCCCAATCCTTTTTCAACTGACCCAGTTCTACACAGAACTTTAATAAGGCCATTATACGTAATACTGTCTAAAGGACACCCTTTAAATAGCATTTCATCGACAAGCTTAAATGCTTGTTGAACTGAATCTCTCATAAGAAGTGCACTAATCAACGTATTGTACGTTACTGTGTTAGCAATGACACCCTCCAAGAACATGTCATGATACAAACTCAAGGCATGTTCCATCTTATCATTCATGCACAGTCCATGTATTAAAGAATTAAATGTATAAATGTCAGGTTTACATCCTTTGGTTGACATTTCGCGAAACAGTTGTAAAGCTTCTTCAATCTTCCCATCCTTTGACAGTGCACCGATCAAGCAATTGTACCCAACTGTAGTCAGACTCAGACCCTTGGTTGACATGCTATTCAAAATTTCAGCCACTTCCTCGAATCTTCCTTGCTTGCAGAAACCATTTATCAATATGGTGTACGTGATCACATTGGGCTCAAAGCCTTTTGCTACCACCTCAGATAAAAATTCAAGGGCCGAAACCAAATACCCTTTCTTGCAAAATCCATCGATCATTATGTTAAACGTGTAGGCATCAGGTTCATAACCCGCAGTTACCATGCTATTGTACAGAAGACCCTTGGCTTCTTCAAACCTTCCACTAGAAACATATCCATTGATTAATGTATTATAGAGCACAGTGTTGGGACTGGGAATTTTGTTCAGTAAGGTCCTTGCTTCATCAACTTGCCCCATTCTGCACAACCCATGCATTAAATATCCATAAGTGAGAGCATCTGCGCTGAAACCTCGAAGAAACATTCGATCAACCAACTTCGCTGCCTCATGAATCCGACCGGCCCTGCAAAGGCCACGGATGACATCATTGAAGGTCTGAACATCAGGCTCACAGAACATCAGAAACATGTCCTCCAAAAGCCGCATCGCTTCACTCACTCTATTGTTTTCACAGAGAGCATGAATCAGGGTCTGGTAAATGACAGAATTTGGAACACACCCGTGCTTCGCCAGGTCCCTGAGAAGCGAGCAAGCCGAATCAACTTCATTAACCATACACAAGGCTTTCATGACCACACCAAAGGTATACACGGTGGGAGAAACACCTCTACTCAACATGTCATAGAAAACATTAGGTGCTACCCTAGGACAATTCCCATCAACCAGAATCTGCAACACAACATTATAGGACTTAAAAGTAGGGTCACAGGAATAAACACCCCACATGTCCAACAAAAGCCTAGTTGCCTGGCCAGGCAACCCTGCCTTCCCATAATGCTTCATGATCAAAATAAAGAGTGATTCCTTAAACACAACTCCTTCATCTTTCATTTGCTTCAACAAGTTTTCAACAACTTTGAAGTCCCCAACAGCCCCAAGCTTATCAATTAAGAGACAGTAGACATCAAAGGTGTGGCAATACCCCTTTTGGGCACCAGCCCTTTGAAACAGTTCCATTGAAGTGGGAATGTCAAGAGGAAGCACCAGCAATTTACAAAGCTGAAAAGGGCTAATTGGGGCGAGTGACCTTCTAAGCTGTTTGAGGTCAAAGGGTTTGAGCAATCTCTCCCACTCTGTCTCAGTGTCACTACTCTCACATTCATTATCATACAAATTGCTGCCCGGGGCAGTTGTGCAAAGTGGGAAAAAAGGGATTTTGAAGCGAAGTAGCGAGACCCTACTCACATTGGTTGAGGATTTGAATGTTTTCAACATCAAGGTGAGAGATTGAAGGGGAGAAACTAACCCCAATGGAGCCACCGCGATCTATAACGATTCTGATGATGCAGTGTTTGTTACGAATCACGGTGAGAGAGATACAAGAGCAGGGTTTGGTTCCTCGTTCAGAAGCAGAAAACATAACCCTCGCGAATTCAAAAGCTATTGTTTTTTATAAATATGTTTTGAAATTTACGGTCAATTTATATTATATTACTCAGTTTTTTTTAATTATTAATTTATTAATATGTATACAAAAACTAAAATTAAATTTAGACATAATAAATTATAAAAAGTAGACAAAAAACAAGTGTGATTAAGAAAATCAATTACATAGATAAAGATAAAAAAAATATGTTCATTTGAGATAGTTGACAAATAAATTTAAAGTTAAAATAATTTTATAAGAATAAATTAATTTTAATTCTGAAATTAAAGTTATTTTATAAGAATAAAAAAATAAAATTAATTGATTTATATACAAAATTCCTAAAGCATTTTAAATTTTTTAAATAATTTTTTATTTTTTTATCAAATAAAAAACTTCACATTATAACATAAAAAACTTATTACATATTTTATTCTTCCAAATATATCTTATTTATTTTTTAGTTAGTAAGAATGAGAAGCTCAGCTTTTTACTTGACTTTCTTTTGTCTGAAATCCTCTAAAACCACATCCTTAATAAATAGTATTGAGTTTAAATCTCGCTGTGAATTGAAAAAGTACATTTTCTGAAAAAAGTAATCATAGGCAAAAATAGAACCTATTTTACTTAAAAAAAAGTGAATAGAGGGCATAATACACTTAAACTATATTTAAATATTACTTGTAAAAAGAAAATTAAAAAAAAATCTCAAAAATAAACTTAAAACATCTAATCATAAGTTTTAGTTTTCACCTAGAAAACATATTGCAGTAAAAATCAACTTTTCACAATGAGCATAGTAAATTATTACTTAACCAAAGCTTGAACCGCAAGACCTACGGGAAATTGTATCCGACAACTCCAAAAATGTCATTTTAAATATTCTTGATTGCATTAATTAATATTGCTTCAATGAAACTATTTGTTCATCAAAATAATTTATCAGAAAGTTTTGAAATCACTTCATAAAAAGTTGTCAGAATGTAAAATGAGGGGAAATGAAACTATTTCGATTGCAAGAACTAAATTAATTACTTGCTATAAGCAACTAACCATTACAGAAACAAGGTCACCTATTATAATTTACAGTCATTTGCTGTTGATCTATATAAAGACCTTGCAAAATCACTACATCTCAACATGAATGTGAAGTATAAGAATGCTGAACCAATCCATACATAAGAAACTCTGTAACATAGAATTCTGCCACCATAATTTTTCAACTAACATTCTTTACACGGGAGAATGTCCTAGTAGTGAAAAGACCCCATTGATGCCATGCCATTTCTGGAACTTCTCAACTCCTGTTGACTTGCATAATTATCACAAGAGTTGCCAGAGGTAGAAAGTTTGTGACCTGGGGCAGAAGTAGAAGGACTGACACCTTTGCCCATTTGCTGCACTTCTAGTGGAGATAGGATTTTTATGTACCACACATTGTTCACAAACTCCCTGCAAAATTATCAAATGTAAATGTTTCTGTGCAGAATCAGGAATCAGCAAAGTCTAAAAATGAAGTGCCCATTTGACTAAGATTGCAGTAGTCTCAGAGCAAAAACCATGTCCTCAAAGTTAATGATAATAAAAATTTTACTATAAGGAACAACAAAAATTACAGAAAAAAAAAATATTCAGATCCACAAAATTTAACTTTGCAAATCGTCAACATGTTGAGAAGTGTCAAATATACAAGAAACATCGCTAACTATACCTATAGCACCTACGGCATTGGCATCAATGAAGGACGTAGCAATTCTTAAGATAATATACTATAACTTGAACATAAGTAACAACTGGCATAAAGCAACTTACTGCCAAGGATCATCACCAAGAAGAAGAATATCATTCTCCCGGTCAACAAATACAAGCTGCCAGCCTGATCTCTGAGTCTTAGGGTCCTCTAGTTGGCCTTCAAGGCCAAACATGCGAGCAAGCTCACTACGCAACTCATCATAGCTGCTGAACTTAGAAATGTCCAGTGACCTGCCAAAGGACCCTGACTTGTGAACCTGTAAAAATTACACCGCATAATATTAGTCCTTGACAATTGACAAGAAGTCTTAAAAAACAAGAGGAAACAAAAATAAAAAATGAGCTACAATATGAAACTTTTCCAACAAAACCATAGACTACTGTTTGTATATACAGGGTTATTATCACTGTAGCGTAGACCCAATTCAACATTGATCATAAATACATTATACAAATATATTTAACTTGTAACTTGAACCAATACTTCAACTGGTAAACTGTTGCTTCATTTTGGTAAATTATATTAAAAAGTGGCTGCATATAAAATATATAAACGCAGGGATACCATCTATAAACAAAAAATACATTAGATATTACCTTAACAAAGGTTCCAGTCGGTGTGTTTGCTTGGTCTACATTTTCAGAAGACTGCAAGAAGCCTGATTCATCCACACAACTTGAAGTTGTCATGTTTGAACTTAAGGGAAAATCAGTGCCTGTGGTACCACCACAATTTGAAGCAGAAAATGGCAATGATAATGAATCATTCACACTGCCCATATTTCTCAGGTTTGACACGCCATTTTGCAGCATAAGAGAAGAGGGATCGATGTTAATCCCAAATAAAAGATTGCTCTGAGGATCAGCAGCACCATGGTATGCAGAATGTTCTCTTCCAGGAAAGGGAGGCAGAACAGCAAGTTCAGACACATTTGATTGTGATGTTCCCAAGTTTTCAACCTGAGGCAACACGCACTGAGCAGAAGCAGAGGGAACCTGAGGTTCAATTGCCATTTGCTTGGGTAGGATGGATGCAGAAGATATAACGGAATTGGACCCACTCAAGTTAAGTAACTGGGATGTTCCATCATGGGAGAACGTTCCTAGTAGACTCTGGATAGGGGAAACATCAGAACCAGATATATGATTCCTGATAGGTTCAGGAAAACTCTGCTGCTGGCAATGCGTAGCAAGAGCTTGCATGGGAGGAGATTGAGACTGGGTACCTGATGCAAAATTAGATAAGGGAGAGATGACATTTGGTAACTGCTGCTGAACAGGCAAATTTTTAAGTTGTTGATGCTGTTGCCGCTGATCACCATATGGATGGTAGCGATATAACTGCTGTTGCAGAAGTTGTGACTGAGCAGGCACTTGGTTTTCTTGAAAATTTTGTAGAAGGGTGCTTTGAGGCTGAGACTGTGGTAATACTTGCCTCTGTACCTCAGAGGTATGAGCACTGGGAACATTTGAAGTCTGCTGAAACTGCAACAGAGGTTGGGAAGATTTTGAGGGATCTATTGTCCTCATTTCCTGGAATGCAGAAGAAGCCATTGCTTGGTATAACTCTGGTTGAAGACCTGGCATAGAAGAGTCAAGTTTAGGTTGCATCCATGGTGTAACACCAAGCCCCTGGAAATTTAAAGATTGCATTCCTTGGTCCCCAAGTCCACCTTGGAGCCACATGAATGGAGAACCAATGCCCATGTCTCCATCTTTGAGACCTGACTTACACAAATGGAAGACGTAAATAAATTAAAATGAAGATGCTGTGTACATCACAAGTCAATAAGATAAAGCATATAGGCAACAGATCCCAGAGAATGACATGAGGCAAATTTTATTACCAGAACCACCACATACCATACAAAGAAGGTAGGCCCGTTGGCCAAGGACGCCTCAACCTTAAGGGGAATGGAGATGGATACATTGGGAATGTTGTCAAAGGTTCAATCTCCCACAAGGAAACTCTTGGCTGCCTCTCCCCTGCAGTGGACTCATCCCAGCCAACCTACACCAGTAAACATAAGTTAAGAAAACAGATTATACATCATCTGTAAACACAACCTCAGATATTTCTATAATAGTGCTAAATTGTATCATGACAACAACATATAGTTGCTAGATGAATCAAACAATCATGACAAACCTTCACAGAACGCCAGTGTGAATTTGGCCAGCGGACAGGATCTAAATCACTAATACCAGTTATGGTACCCATGTATCTGGACAATAACATGTTACAGTAAGTATAGGTTCAAATGTTTAAGAAAAAACAAACTTAGAAAAGATTGTTGTTCTGAAGAAAAGCAAATATTGTTGTGGCTAATCATTCAAAGCCTTTGTCTTTTGGAAGGATACATGCATATATTGCCATGGCTAATCACTCAACAAAAACTTTGACCTTTATAGTATGGAAGCACATAATAATGCGTCAACAGTCAGGAACAGGAGTGCACAGCACAGTGTGGCAAGCATCAAATGACATACAGAAAACTACTATTGCAAGAATAATGTCTACAAATCAACAAATCAGTAACATAAAAAGGCAAGATCCGAAATCAAGGAAAGTTAAAGAGAAAAGTGGGCAGTGTTTAATAGGATCAAAAGTCCACAGCACATTTGCAACTGACACAATTGTTTAAGTCAAAGTCCCACATAACGGGGTCCAGCTAATAATTTCACTATTACAAATGGGGTGGGATCATGAGCAGTTACCAGCAAGGCTGATTGGGAAACTACAGTATTCTGTGAATAGCAGTATATTTGTTTCTTTATTCATTACACAGGAGACTGCACACGTTCATTGATGAACCACAAAAAAAGAACATAAATAAAATCGGGAAAGTAAAATTTTAAGCTAAATTACATCATTGGACTCTAATACTTTGAGAGAATTGAGATATCCCCTATAGTTTAAAAAAATTAGTCCCATGACCCACCACCCTACCATTAGAGGGTTATATGAACCATTTTAAAAATGAAACTTTAATTCCAAACTATCAGAAAATTTTGAATTTGTCCATAAAGTATATGGACCCAAGAAGTAATTTAGCCAAATAAACTCTCTCGCGTAAGTAGCAGGACAAAAACATAATGTGAACACTATGTTTCACACAGGAGAGGGGAAAATATAGGACAAGAAATACCTACCGACGAACACTTGATTCTTCTGTCTCAAACAGCATCCTAAATCGCATCCCAACAGAAACTCGTGTATGATATACTGCTTTAACATACTTGGCCAAAGGA